CATTATTTAATAGTATATAAGTTTAAGCTCTTAATTCTACAAGGCAACATTAAAACAAATCCTGAATTTCCCCTAGTGTGACACATTTTCTCTAGGCATCTTATTTTCCCTTCAAAAAGTACAAAATTTAATGTAAATTACTCACTATAAAATTGTCATCACTCAGAGAAACCATAATTTTTATGACCTTCAATTTTGTTTGGTTACAGAGCTATCAAATAGAAAATCAGACCCCTCCTGCCACACCCACCTGTCACATCCGCTCTTTAAGGATTTGTTAATAGTTCTTTCTTACATTTAATTATATATTACCCATAACCAATAGAAAGCCAAGGTTTTCATCTATCAATTGTTGTATAATGTTGTGTTCTAAACAGATAATTGTCAAGTTAGCTCAGAGTACAAGCTCCGTTCCTGTTTGAAAGCTAACAACTAGCTTTGATGAACCTGTAATGGCTCTTGTCACATAGTTAGAAAGCGAGAAACATTTTGAGAGATTGGGGAAATTGTCCACTTTTTGCATGTTATTAGTCTATGTTCTTTGGTGCATTATTCAATTAAATAAATATCTAGTGCATTACTACCATTAGTATAAAAATAGTAAGGTTAACTGTCATCGATAATCGACAAGAAAAAAAGAAGATTGGGTAAGTACTTTGTTTCTTGTTTTTTATGATTATTCTTTATTTATTTTTATGAAAGTAACTAAAATGTAAAAAATAGGGATCTCTTTAGGTTAGTTAAGATTAGATTAGGTAAAATAAATAATAATGTAATAAAAATGTTTCATGAGCACGCATGCAAGCAGCTCGTAGTAGCTCATGGGTAAAGTATTTCAATGGCGTAACATGAGCTGCATGATCCCTGAGTGACTTATACTTATAATGACATGGTTCAAAGGGCAACAAAACAATTAAAATTAATTATAAATAGATTTATACTGTTACGAGTTTAAAGCTTCTTTGGATAAACGAATGTACTTTCATGCTACATTTGAAGTCATTCTAGAAAGAAAAGGAAGGTAATTTAGATTTATTTAGATTTTTTTTGGTGTGTGTGTGGAGGGGGTTTACAAGGTCAGTCTAATTGACCAACTTTGCATAGAGTTAGGGTATAGAAAATAACATAAAATATTAAGTTTTATTGAAAACAAACATTTGAAATATATTTAGGAGGTTTTAGAGATTACACAAATAAATTTTGAGATGAAGAAAAGTATTTTTAATCTTAACATGAAAATCACTTTGCATATGGACTGTTCAAAACAAATGCTCAATATATTCTTGGAAAAATCTTTATTTTAGTTTATTAAAAAAACCACTAAAAATATGATTTTTTTTGTATTTGAAAGACTGATAATATTAACTGAAAGACTGCCAAATTTTGTGAAGATATACACACTATATTGAAAGTTAGAAGTGTTAAATCTATAAAGACTTGAACCGAGTACAAAAAGGTCACGTGGTGGGTCAAATTGACTGAGCCTGTGTCGAGAAAAAATAAATGTATTTCTAAAATCATATCTCCATGTTTCTGCTGTGTATGCTAACCAATACAGCAGTTCTGGAATAGTAAGGGTACTAACCATTCAAGATTTTAATGCTAGACATATGGCTCTTAAGTATTTCCTTAACTAAAATCTGAAACCTCAGATTTTTTTATTAGTTGGGTCAACCCTGGAATATGCCAGATTTATAAACTAAATATTGTTCTTATGTTGTTACTGCTATGCAAGATTTACAATTTCTTTATTTAGTAAGACATTTTGCTCATGTTCTCTGTTTTGTTGGGCTTTATCACACAAAGACAAATTACTAAAAGCTTATATTAAAAAATACTTTGTATTTTAAGAATACAATTTTACTTTGAAAACTTTCACATTAAAACCTCATTGCTAGTTTAATATTTTCAGTGAAAAGCAAAATGAAAAAGTAAAGTTACCAGTAGTACCATCTTATTTCAAAGCCACACAATTAATAAAGCTGTTAAATTGCTTTTATAATAGTAAACACATGTTAGAAACACAATACAGTAATAGTAAAGCATTAAAGAGAAACAACAAAATTCTATGAAAAAAAAGAGATTGATATTTACTGCAAATATGGTTCACATAAAGGAAAGTTTTTCTTTAATTTTTTTGTTTGGTAATATGTTATTATTTAACATTACTTGCATTTAACTATCAAGATACATATAACAGTGAAGTATTTTAATAGTTTAATTATTTTGATCTTGGGTACAACAAAAGTATTGAAAATCATTTTTTTTTCCTAATTCAATTTTATTTGACTTTTTCTTGTACAAAGTTTAAAAATTACAAGTATAAAAGCAGAGAGCTTGGTTTGTATACAGTAGGCCAATCTTCTTATTTAGCACTACTCAATTTTCAATTTGTTATTTCCTAATCAGTTTAAAAAAAAATATTCACCATAGTTAAGACTCATTACCAAGGTTTATGAGCTTTCTTCCTACATTTTTCACAAATAGACTATTAAATTTCAAACCATTCTTAAATGGTTACTTATATTTTTCATGTATATGTATTTTTTAAAGACACAAATTATCATTAATTAGAATACATTAATCTTTCTATGTCTAGTGGTATACTATATATCTTATCATTGCTTATTAAGTTACTCAGAAGCTTGATCTTTACTGAGTGTTGGATTTTTTTAGTTATCACTTAAGTATTGTTAAATTATGTTTCTAAACTATTCCTACTCGAAAAAGAAACATTGTAAGCTTGATTACCACTAGTAAGTGATATTGTGGCATAACCCGAACTGACTAGCTAATCAAAAGACAGTAGCAACCGAAAGTACAACAATGAAAGTATAAGCTTCAGGTACTTTATTTTACTTACATGCTTCTATTATCCAGTTCCTATTTTAGCTTTTTGATCTTGAGCCTGAGTAGGAATACTCTGCCTTCCATTAAAATAGCATCCTTAGTACTGATAACTGTATTGACACTGATTGAAAATATCATAGTAAATGCAATAATACAGTGTTTTATGAGAATATACAATTTAAGGACTTTTTTATGGCATGTAAAGTTTTGTGTTCTAAAAAGTTGTGTAATACTTAAATTATGGAAGTTATGGAACTTTATTTTTTGTGCATATACATAATAAAATATTATTGCTCCATATAATCTTTTTTTTTCCTTTCTTTAATCGAAAGTCAGTATATAACCACTTTATTTGTTTCTTGTTGCAAACTTTTGTTTTCTAGCTTTTCGCTGTATTTAGCTACAGAACATTTATATATATAAATATTTAGCTTTGTTCACATAAAATTTACTTGTGTAATGAATGTTGAATGAACTAATGAATATTAGAAATGCAAATAACACTTATTTCATGAAAGAAAGTTCTAGCATAATTTTTTAAAAGATAAATGTATGTGTAAAACTTTTTACTTGGTTGTAGATCCCACCAGGTACTTCTTCTCATACAAGATTGAAGTTACTAGGAAAAGGCATCAAAAGAGTAGGTTCACATGGTTATGGGGATCATTTTGTTCACGTCAAGCTTGAAATACCACAGTAAGTATCTTTATTTAGTATTCAAAATATATTTAGTGGTGAATTATTCTACTAGTATAGTATTCAATTGTTTCAATGCTGTTTCTTGTTAATTTTTAGCTTCATATTTTACAAGAGCAGTTAAATATAAGAAATATGTACTGTATATAAGGTATTATAGTACTTGCATATTAAAGAGCCAGTACTTATGTATTTTATTGTATTCAGTGTTAAATACGTTTAAATAAACCAAAGCAGAAGTACAGATAAGCACAATTATTTTTTATTTCCCATGATTTCATTTGGTTGGTTTTATTATATTTATTCATAAGTTACCTATTGTGTTTAAGCCCACAGTTCTGAAGTAGGTAAATTTTTTTCTTAGCCAAAATTTTTCAATTCTACTTTCAGTTACTTTTTGTTTTACTTTAAATAGAATTCTAATTATTTTTGAAGCAAGAAATCAATGTTTTTCATTTGTAAAGCTGAAAAGTCTTCCAAGATGTACTTCTTATGATTGTTTTTTTCTTATCAACTGAGCAGGTTAATTAAATTTATTGCATATGATAAGATTTGCAGTCATAAGCATGATATGTTTTGCTTAAAAATTGATCTGTATTAGAGAAGTAATATTGACCATAATTCTGAATTTTTGAAGTGAATCTTCACAAAATCTAGCAAATGTTTAGTAAACAGTACAACTCTGTTATGCACAAAATATCAAATGTGTTAACTCTCTCTCCACAGGTATCTTTTTCTGCACATATCATGAGGTTTTAGTGAGTTACATTTCAAACTTAATTAATCTATTAGCTTTTCGTGATATACCAATAAATATAACATAAAAAATGTAAGTACTAATCTATATTGTAATAATATATAAGTTTTAAGTTCTTACTTTTAAAAGGCAGTGTTAAAAAAAAAAGTCTAGAATTTCTTTTAGTGTGAGAATTGTGATGTTTGCTTTCTAGGGATCCTCTCTTCTGTAATTTATTTACAACCCTTCCAAGAAGTATGAAATTTATTGTAAATTACTCAATATAATATTGTCATTACTCAGGCAAAGCATAATTTTCATAGCCTTCAATCGTATTTCATTACAGATCCATGAAATAAACAATCAGACCCATCTTGCCATGTTTACCTGTCACATTCTCTCTTTCAAAAATTCCTAATAGTTCTTTTTGACATTCAATACTATATTATTTATAACCTATAGAAAGCCAAGGTTATCATCTGTCAAATAAAATATTTTGTTTCCTGTAAAGAGAATTGTCGTTTTCACTTTCAGTTCAAGCTTGATTACCATGGGAAACACATCAACAAGCTTAGATGAAGTTTTAACAGCTCTTTTCACATAGTTAGAAAGCCAGAAAAGTTGATAGTTATGGAATATTGTCTGCTTTTTGCACATTATTATTCTAGGTTTTTTGGTGCATTATCTAATCAAATAAAAAAAATATTCAGTGCAGTACTACCATTTTTATAAAAGAAGTAGAGTTAAGTGTTAGCAACAGTCAACAGTATTCTTTATTTCTTGTTATAAAAGTATTTAGAATGTAAAAATAGGAAACCTTTTTTGTTATTTAAGGTTAGATTAGGTGAAATAAATAAGAATAAGAATAACATTTTTTCATGGGTACACTCACAAGTAGCTCGTGTGTAACGTAATTCGATAGTGTAACATGAGCTACATGTTTGCTAAGTGGCTTACAACTTGTAATGGTGCAAGAAGTAGTTAAGGCAATAAAGAGATCAGTGAAATTGACCAACCTTGTATAAAGTTAGGGTAGAGAAAATAACAGATAAAATATAAAGTTTTACTGAGAAAAAATACTAAATTTAAAAATCGGATTTTTTGTGTGGAAAAGACTTGTAATGTTTACTAAAAGGCTGCAAAATTTTGTGAAGATACATGAAGTGTATTAAAAGTTATAGTATGGAAATTATAATGAGTATGAAATGGTGACAAGGTCATTCGATTTGGCTGAGTTCGTAGCGAGAAAGCTAATAAATTTAATGTTCTAAAGATATGTCTGTGAAATGATATTAATTGGAAGAATAAAAATACTTTTGTCCATCATACAATTATTGATTTACATAACCTATAGGATTTCTGATATTTTCATCGTCAGTTTTTTCAGTATCCTGGTATGTTGTATCTGGTATTTACTCTCCTTTACCATGTTGACAAATTAGTATGCAACAACCCTCCACCAATAGGAGTGTGATACATCCTCCTATCATAGCTGACTTCGTCTTTGCAGTTGAACCCAATATTCACTTATTGCTTTGGCACAATAGTGTTAAGATCTACAGCTTCATTTCAGACATTTTTCTTTAGTGTGTTTTGAAAATATTCAATTACTGATTTTCACATTTCGAAGTATTATTTATAATGCACTGTCGAGCTGGATTTCTTTGTTTGATTGTGAATTCTATTTCTCACTCAATTACTGATAGTCAGTCAATATTTTTGAATTCACAATTTACTATTCCGACTACAGTAGATACCGACTGTAATGGCATTCAACTGCCCATGACAAGGGTTACAGATGTGGCATTATTGGCATAGGAAGTGTCAGCTGTAGTTTGTCGAGAGATGGTTTTCTCTTATGTAGGCTGAGGGATCTCTCAATCTACGAGCAATTCTGCCATTACCTGAAGAAGTTGATCAGGATAATGCAGACTTGGACAGCTTTCCCTTCTCCCATTCCTTTGCTGTGCAGGCACGTTCTCAGCCTGCATCTAGACCTCAGTCACCATTTTTAGACTTGATATTACAGGGTGTTTTGTTTTGTCTTTGTCACCCATGTCATTTGATCCCTTCTCTTCCTTATTAACTGCAGCACCTAGTTCTGAGTTTTTGATTTCCCCTGTTTGCCTGATATCAGGGTCCATGCCAAACATTTTGCAGATCAATTATGTGCAGGGGTTAGTATGCTGAGTCCCCATGTACTGCAGAGGCTCTTGCACTTGCATATCATCATTCAGCAAATCCTTTTTTGAGGAACAACATCTGGATTCACTTCTTCCCCTTTGAGGTTCAGCCTCCAATATTTCAGTGCACTTCCCTAAAGCATAATTTGCTTGCCTCCATATCTCCCTCACAATACTTCCTTGTTATTTGTCATCCATTCGCCTATTGTCCGAGGCCTTCTGTTTTTCTCCTGAGACTCTCTTGGCAGAAGTCTGGACCCTTCTACTCCCCAACTTGTCCAGATTGTCTTTGTATGCCTTTTCCTTCCACACATGGTGGACTTCCAGACACTTGGAGTTTTGTGTTGAATCCACTAGGTTGCACACTTTATTATCTTCCCTTACTTCCTGTTGTCCCAACCTCTTCCTTCTCCAGTTTCTATTTCCCATCCTCTCCTTTACCGGTTCCTCCTTCCTGGACCATATCTGCATGTTCACCAACTTCCTATATGGCATTATCATTAATGGTGACTACCCTATTGTTTCAGGTCATCTGGTAGCTAGGCTTGCTTGTTTCTCAGAAGTGTGGGAGACTTTTACCACTGACCTTATCTCCTGTCCCAGTTCCTTCTTCTCCTTAAAATCCTATTTCCCACCAGTGTCTCACAAAAGTGGTTCAAGCCATTCTCATCAAGGGTGTTATCGGACAGGTTTCTCCTGTGCTTCCAGGGCTCTTTTCCTGACTTTTTGTCATCTCCAAAGAAGACCAGGGATTGACATCCTGTGATCGATCTCTCCTGTCTGAATCGCTTCCCTGATGTGCCTCAGTTCACCATAGAATTCTATCTCTCAGTGGGCCTTTCTTAGAGGGCTTTGGATAAGGAGATTCAATGTATCTGACTCTTAGCTTCATGTCCCTATTATTCGGGCTTCATGTCGTTTTCTACATTTCATCCATGAGGATCACGTTAATCAATTATAAGCTTTTCCTTTTGGACTGGCATCAGCACCTTACACTTTCTGCCAGATGATCCATTGTTTACCTGGTTCTTTCATTCTTGCAGTCTCATTTTCCATTATTTTATGGATGACTGGTTTCTTCTGGCTGCATCTTACACAGAGACTTCTTCACACACCTAACTTCTCCTCCAAGAAGCTGATTGGGTGGGTTGGTTTATCCACCCAACTCAATATATTGTTCATCTTGGGGGTTTCAACTCACATCTCAGTCAAGCTCAGCCTTCTCTTCTTCCTCTTCCTCTTGGTTAGAATGTTTAATATATCCAGTTTCATTCTTATAAATTTTTATTATAGAAATTGTTTTGCATAGTTAGCTTAATATACCTTTTTAGAGTACATGAATTTCAAGCTGTATAATCCTTTCAGTTTTTATTTTAATTTATTAATGAGACTGAGGCTAAGGTTTGTGCTGTTCAAGCCTAATAGCTTAAGTGGTTAGAGACCCTGCTTAACAGAAAAGAGGCAAGGAACTGAATTTTTCCTGGATTCACTCGCGAGTGACTGATCTATCTAAACTTACTTTTGTCGGTGATAGTAACTTTGAATACAATCACTTTTGGTTAAGACTGTTGTCATTGATCTGTATTATATCCCATTTGACAAGGGTTGATGGTTCTTTGCAGAATAACTTTAAATCTAAGAACCAACTTTGATAATTTATTTTCTATCTATTGCACACTTATTGTTTAGGAGACATTCATCTTATTAATTGAGAGAGTTTTCCCTTCTACTCTGAATACTTTATAATACAGGGAAAGCATGTTCCTTGTTTACTTTGTAAAGTGTCTTAACTTCTTTTATCATTTACAATATTAAATTTATAGAAGGTTTTACATATAAAAAAAAATAAAAAGAATTGGCTATTGGAAAATACAGAAATTACTAAAGCCTAGTGAATAGTTAAAATCACTAAGTTAACTTTAATTTTGAATGTTTTTGATGTTTGCTGCTGCTCAAAGAATATGTAATATTTTCTTATAGAAGTAGTATAGAGTTTAGTTTTAAAAGTTAAATTTTTTAATGATTTAAACTATATAAGCACTACTTAAAATCCTCTTTTACTTTGAAATTTTGTTTTTTCTCCTTTCAATATATTAACATTAGGAAAAGGGTTTTAAATTTTGATGTATGTTAAGGAAGTTAGAGTGCTAGTATAAAACTGGTTAAGGAAGTTAAGAGTGCTAGTATAAAACTGGTTAAGGAAGTTAAGAGTGCTAGTATAAAACTGGTTAAGGAAGTTAAAGAGTGCTAGTGGGAAATTGGTTAACTTAAAATCTCATGGTAAGTATTTGTTCTGAAAAAAAAAGCAAAATGTGTAATGTTTTTTTTTCTTCAACAAATTCAATTTATAAATTGTTCTATAAGTATGTTTGTGAAATGTTATGGTTTAGTACCAAAAAATAAACAAGTCTCTTTACAGGTGTTTAGTGTATGTTTGTATATCTGTGTGTATCATATATTGTGATACATTTTATTCAACAAGATTAAATAATTTTTTTGTTTCTGATACTGCAGACAGTTAACTCCTGAACAGAAAGCCTTGTTTCAGGTGTATGCTGAAACAGAATGTGACACACCAGGCACAATAGATGGTCTCACTAATATAAGAGAAGGTACGTCTTTATCAACCAATTTAAGTTTGGGCTTTCTAGCTTTTTCTAATGTACCACTTTCTAGGTGTTTCTGAACACCTAATTTTATACGAGATAATTTTTAAAGTGGTGTTTGTATCTTTATCCAGTTTTATGTAATCAAAATGTAAGACTCTATACTTGAAGACACAATATTATATGAATGTAGCTATAACCATTTCTTTCAACTAGCTATAGTGCAGAAGATTATCATACATCCCTCAGTATTTGCAGGTCACTGATTCATCAGTATATATTGCTATTCTATTGCAAGTTATAGCTTTTTTTTTGCAAATAAAGTTGCATAAAATAATTTATGTCAAGAATCATTTTGTTTATAACAATACAACTAACATGTTACTCTATATCAACTAAGACAGATGCTTTAGTTTCTTTGCTTATTTGATTTAAGAGTACATGATAATAAGTGTTCTATGCAATATTATAAATCTCTAGACTTGTTTAATACTGAATAATTGGTAAAAATATATGATTAAACCATGTTTCTGCTTGTATATCCTAGATACTAGATTTCACAATTCCTTCAGTTTTCAAATAAATTGGATATCGTATATGTTATTCTAAAAACACAGACACATGTTTTTGTAAGCTTAGAAAGAAAGTAGTTTTTGTTGCTTTTCCAAAAGGTAGGTCTAAATATAATGTAAGTTAACCTTCATATTATATTTTAAAATAACCTAAATGAAAATAATTAAAATAACTTACATACTTTATTTCAATGTATAACCAGCAAAGTAGTGGATGTTGCATCATTGATTGTGATAATAAATGGCCTGTGAATAAAACTGTATCCTAATTGAGTTTTTCTGAGGTGATGTCATAATTATGAAAATGATGAATTATATGATTTAAGTGTCATGTTTTGTAATTGAAATGTTGCTAATTAATTTTACAGTTTATTGTAATTAGTTCTTTTTTGTAATTACATTATTGGCCAGGTGGTTAGAGCACTCGACTCGTAATGTGCGGATTGCGGGTTCGATTCCCCATCCCACCAAACATACCCGGCCTTTCAGCCGTGGGGGCATTATAATGTGATGGTAAATCCCACTATTTGCTGGTAAAAGAGTAGCCCAAGAGTTGGCAGTAGGTGGTGATGACTAGCTGCCTTCCCTCTAGTCTTACACTGCGAAATTAGTGACGGCTAGTGCAGATAGCCCTCGTGTAGCTTTGCGTGAAATTAAAAAAAACAAAAAGTTACATCATTACTATGTTATTCTTAAGTATAAATCATGTTACTTTTTTATTTGTTAGGTAAAATTGTGATGGATGATCCCAGTGGTTTGGTAAGTCATCTTCGAAATATTTTGAAAGGAGATGTGTCTGATGATGATGAAAAGCTACCAAAGAAATTTATAGATGAAAAAAAGGCTGAGGATATGAATAGCTAGTTCTCGTATATAAAATCATTATTTGTTATTGCTGCTTTTTTGAAAAACTGTAATTATTTTTTGTATAAAATATCATACCATGTTTACGTACTGATTCTGGAGATTTCAGTTACAAATAAGCCAAATCCATTTTTTGGGATCAACACAGGCCCTGTAACAGATGAAATTTTTGCATGTTAAAGAAATTATATCTGATTTCATATAGGAGTAATTTTTTACATTTAGTACACAAGGTCTTTTTATTAAATTAAGATTTTTTAAAATTTTGAAAGCTAAAACATAAAAATAACCAAAAGAGTTTGAATGTGAAACATTATTGAATATTTATTAACTTTAAGAATTGTATGTTTCATGAGTACACAAAAAGATATTAACAAGGGTGTATTAATGTGGCATAAGGAAAGTCATGTTAGGCTTAAAATGTCTTGAGTTTGTGAAGCAAAATACCAGATCTGAGGAAAAATAGTATTTCAAGTCTGAGCTGAGATTCTGTTTTATTCCTTAAGTTTTATGTCTAAAACATCAATAAAGAGACATGATAAAAACCACATTTTTCAAAGTTCATTACATTCATTAGATCAAAAAACAGTTCCTTTTTAACTTTAACATGTAACATGCTTTCGACCTTCCATGGTTAGTACTTTGATAATTACTTTTTCCAAATATTGCTGTAATTCTCTGTTGTAGTTATAGAGCAACTCGCTCTTTTGAAAGTTGTACTGTTATATAAAGTTTTTCTTTTAAGCAAATATAGCAAGAAACTTAATAGATCCTATATGAATCATTTAGTCTTAATAACTTTTGTTTCATAAAATATTATTATCTTTTGAGAGTTGTAATAAAAACAACATGAATCCATTATAATTTTGGGGAACTTCATATTAGTTCTTAGAAGTTATAATATTGTAGATATTGCTAATTAAAGCATCAGGACCTTGGAAACAGTAACATATTAAGCTGTATATGTTTAAACAATTTATTCCAGAAAAAAATATAAAGCAAGAACTTTTACTTAATTTAAAAAATGAAATTAAATATTAGACTAATATTTACATATTTTTTTCTTTTCACTGTATTATAAATAAAAAAGGTGATGTCAAAACTTTAATTTAAATGTATTTTAATAAATAAGGAAAAAATGAGGCAATACCATGAAATACTGTTTGAAGTACTACAAAGAGAATTTTGTTAGTATTAGCTATTGAAAGAATATAACAGCTACTTGTCATTAAATTTGAACCTTGAAAAATTAGATATATTGTGATTATAATAATGTACGGGTGATTAGAAAGAAATTTTATAATTCTTCAATTTTTGCTAGAAACCAGACTGTTTAACGTACATTTACATAAAACTTTTTATTGTATTAAACAGAAACTTAACTGTTGTACAGCATTTATAGTAATCACAAATAAAGCAGCAAGCAGATTTTATACGATTTAACTTTATTTAGTATGTTTGTTACTTTTAAGTACTAAAAATAAAAATATGTTTTATACAGTTAAAATAATACAAAATAAGAAAATAATATTAGCAAACAAAGAAATAAGTTGTTTATTCACATGGTATTTAATTTTTTAAAAGCCTAATTCTTAGTTTTTACAATTTCAATAAAAATAAGGGTATTTCAGAAAACAGTACTTATTGGTTATCAGTCATCGCAATTTTCACAAGGAATATAACTTGTTTTAGAGAAGGTTTAGACAGCACATGTTTGGAAACTTCTATGATGATTTTTTTTTTAATATGTTTCGAATTACTGCGAGATCCTCAGCTGATGACGACAGTAACGTTAAACGTCGTCTAACAATTTCTAATGGAGATGAAAGCCACTGATGTCTCCAATCAAGTAAAACTACCATGTCAACAGTATTTACAATGATTCGTTATTTATCTAAAATATTCAGTTTCACACACGTGTATTAAAAAAAAAGCCATGAAGTGAACTGAGTTATTCGTTTAAAAAGCATCCACAAATTCAAAATTTTGTATTTTAAATGAAGATATTCAAATTATCTGAAATGTGCAATATTGAAAAATGTCCGTAAAACTAGCATGAATGGACTTTTACTTACTTCCCAAAACACACAATTATTAGTAAGAACTTCTGGGTTGACAGAAAAGGGTGTATTAATGTGGCAGAAGGAAAGTCAGGTTAGGCGTAAATGTATGAGTTTGTGAAACGAAAAAAAGCTCTTTAAGCTTACTAATTATGATGGAAAATGTTATATCCAGTGCCTACCAAAATATTCAATCTGGCCTGGATATGACAGAAATAGTTGTTGTTCAGACTCCATTTATTTTAGAAAATTTCTGGACAATAACTTTTACGGTGTGCACTGGATGAAGTTAGTGAAATGTAATTATTAATCATTTGTTGTATTTATGTCACAATTTGATCGAATTAGGGTAAGGATTATTTAACTGTTACTTATTTTAGAACCATATATTGTTAATTATTTTTCTTGAATTAACTTGCTCATTATTAAGAAGTGATAAATCAGCAAGCCAACTTATTAATTCCAGAGCGTGTCAAGAGACCACAATGTTAACAGAATATTATAGTAATATTTTTTAATGAGAACTGAGTGAAAGCAAAGAAGAGTGTATTATTATGATATGCCAACCACACTGTTTCTAGTACCTTTCGTCTAGTACTAGGTCTCTTTCGGCCATCTGACATACGACATACGTGATAGTGGTTAACACGCTATGCTAAGTGTACCAATATTAAATTCGAAAGCACTACTGTCAGCCAGTAATTATGTGTTAAGAAATAATGCATAAAATTACTGCAACACGACTTGGAGTAGTTGTAAAATAATTAGAATAATCGGTAATCTCTATTATCTTGTAAAACTTGTGGTTTTAGCAAAATGTTCGACTAAATATCGTTAAATTGCAACGACAATGTCATCATGTACTTAAACAATGTCTTTGAAATAAAACTATTTGGCAGCGGTGGGATTCGAACCCACGCCTCTGAGAGACTGGTGCCTAAAACCAGCGCCTTAGACCACTCGGCCACGCTACCTATAAAGACAAATTATAATATACCGTGTATATATATACATTTCAAAAATTAATATTGATAATAAATTTAAGTTTAACCTTCAACTTCAAGTCTGAGAAAATAGTCAAAATACATAAACTGACTTTTAATGGCTGGAGACGGCTTGAATGGGTAATGAAGAAAAACTTTAATATAAGTTTAACATAACAGCAAATGTACAAGGTTTTGTCATCATCAGG